CTAGAGAGGGGAAGAGTGGGAGACCTTCAGCAGAATAGTGCTCAGCTAACGGGTTCAACTTGTTATTTACCAAATAACCAGCAGCTGTGGAGAAATCTGTTCCATTAATATTTCCATTCTGAATATTGACATCAGATAATCCCAGGCTTCCTAATCTAGAACGGTCTGAATTTGAGTAAAGACTCGCTGAAGAGGAGGTTCGTTTAGGGATGTTGACCTGTCCGTGGGAACCCATCATAGAAGCACCAAGACTTGTTCCATAACCATTCATAATTCCACCATAATTTCCAGAAAACAAGTGATCTCTAGACTCTGCTGTAGCAATATTTTTTTGCCGCAAAGCCTTCTTATGACCGTTGGGTATGTAACGCATGACATCAGATTGATTCTCCAATTCCACCCGAAGCTGTGACTGTATATGGTTTTCTTTTACTTGGCTCATCTCTGATATGTTCAACCTCGACAGAGTATCAGCAACTTCAGCAGCAGTGTAAGAGTCACCATTTTGGATGGCTGTGCCAAAAGTATTCTTCTTCTCAACAGGAGAAACTCTGGTACCAATAGGGGGGAGACCAGAAGCCGGAGATCTTCCTATTAGATGCGAGTCAGGAGTTCTATTCCTTGGCACTGGAGAACTCATGGTGGATCCAAGCATAGTATTAGGGCTGTTTTGGGCTGCAGAATGCAATGATTCATGGAATGCTAATGTGCTGTCAAATCCACCCACATTGAAGTTCGATAAAGCAGCCTGATCTTTCATGTCACGGAACGTATTGCAACTTGCAGGGCGAGAGAGCTGGTTGCCTAAGGCTGCATCCCGGTCCAGTCCTTCCTGTAAACGTTAAAATCAGTCAAGTAGAAAACCGGGCACTATTCAGACACCTCACAACTCGTATATACTCAACAGCATATATATTAGCACCAACGTATAGTCATTACCTGAAGTATATCGGCGAAACTCTTCCTTCTCGGTCCAAGACCGGGATATCCAGATAAACCAATCATCTCTTCTCTGCCTTGATCTAGCCGCTGCACAGCGGTCTTCTGAGAGCGTCCCTGGGCTACAGCATTCCTCAGTTCCATCAAATCATTCTCCGCCTGATCAACTGGAACCCCTGGCTGAACCGAAAAGAGCGATGATGAATTGTCGACTTCAGCCACTTTCTTCCTCCATTCTCCAACAGGATCAAACACAGACTCACTGTTGTGAAACCTTTGAGCAACCCTCCAATCCTCTCTAGACAACAACGGAGGCGGCAACCTCGGATTTGAGTGTTCATTAGAATAGTAATACGAGAGATAATCAGGGTGCCAACGTAACTCATCATCAGACAAAAGCTCAACACCATTGCTAGTGCTACTACTGCTGAAATTCCCAACATCTCTATAATCAGAGTTGTTCAAGTACTGATTATCCATCGCCCTCAACAAACCTTCCACCGTAGGAGGCGCGCTTCCGCTTCTATGCACATCAACGTCTCGTTCTCGTTCTCGGCCATATGTTTGCCGGTTCCGATGCTGCTGCAACAAAGATTCGAGCTCTCTCTGGAATCGATCTTCGAGATCCACATTGGATCCTCGATTCATACTTGCTAAATTTGATCTTGTATCCATGTATCTATCAGTAACCATCTCTTCCTTTCATCTGAATCTATATTAGACCTAATCAACCCCTGCAAAAAACCAGAAAAGGAACAATTTCGTGTCGGTGATTTCACGAAATCGGAGAAATCCATCGAAATTTCTAAGAAGAAAATGATTCAGAATCCGATCGCGATCAAAGTAATCACCTCAATGTCTACGAAGAATCGTTATCTCTTTCACGCGAACACAAAAACGCAGAGGATAAAAGAGGAGAGAATCAAATGACGACCATTGTTGGAGAAAACTGAGAGAGAGTGAGATTTACAGGGAGAAGGAATCTAGTTGTATGGGTAG